TTAAAAAGCTCAGACATGTTGATATCCCTCTTGAAGCCAAAGCGCAGATTGCAACCGCTTCTGCATTTGCTAAAGCCCTGTGGGGTACTTCCTTCTATCTTTCAGGACAACGTTTCTTTGAAGAATTGCGCGCTGAGTTTGCTCATGCAATTTTTGGCAATTACCACAACATTCAGTCACATGTTGCAGCCATGGCCTTGCTGAAAAGTGGAATGGACCCAGAATTGTACGTGATACATGCATCCATTCGCACAGCCAGACATTTTCTATGCCATGCCACAGACGATGAGAAAGAAATGTTTTGGCTTTTGGTCCGTCAGCCACTGCCACATGCAGCCACTATTGCGGGCCCGGCCATGGCCTTTAAGCAGTATATAACGAAACTCAACTGGACCTTGGAGGAAACGGGAAACATACGTATAACTGCTTTTACAGTATTGAACCTCATTGATAGCAACCTCAATGAAATATTGGATGCTGCCACAGATGCCTGGATGGAAATTGTCGTTGAAGTCACTGGTGGCCGAAAGCACATGCGAAATATGCCTCCTATTGATCGTGAAGCCACTATTGCAGCTTTTGCCACGGTCCCTGAAAAATTTAAGCTCAGCATGGGTCTCGAATCAACGGGAGGGTTTATGCTCAATTCTCAAAAGGCCCATTTTGCAGATCAAGTTGATGGTAAGTGCAATTATTGTGAAGAGATGGACTCACACAGACACAGAGTTCTCCATTGCAAAGCCACCCAAGAAGCCAGGGTTCAACATTCTTCTATTTGCCAGCAATTGGAAGAAGCTGAAGACATGCAACTTGCCTTTCCATTAGCTTATAAATCACCGGAAGACCAGTTTTTGCAAGATATGCTCTATCGCATTCCTGAGCCACACCTTGAGATGCCAAATGCCCCCAAACTAACTTGGGTGTACACAGATGGTTCTTGCTATTTACCTAACAGCCGAAGATATAGATGGTCTGCTTTTGCAATCGTGTGTCCAGCAGTGCCAATGCAAGCCCTACTGCAGTTGACCCAGACTCAACCTGAGGTTCTGCTCAGGAAAGCATATCATGTAATCGCAGTTTCAATAGTTCCAGGTAAGCAGACAATCAATCGAGCAGAACTATTTGCAGCCGTTCTGACGCATGAACAACAAATGAACGCGGTTGTGGTTACTGACAGTGCCTATGTCATCAATATGCATTCACTGGTTTGTCAAACGCGTAATGTTATGATTCTGCATAAACTGCCCAACTGGGACTTACTGAGAAGACTTCACCACTTGTATTGGAGATGTGATTACGCATTGCCGCACCTCAAGATCAAAGCTCATCAGAATATCACCACTCAAACTGCAGATGAAGTAATCCATATCTTGGGAAATCGCGCAGCTGATGAAGCCGCCAAACAAGCAGCCAAGCACCAAATGACGATTGTGACAAAGGACTTGCGCAGACTACATGCTGAATCTAGGACAGAACAACAAAACCTTACTGCACAGTATGCTTTAAGAGTAGATCTGGTTGTTAAACGCACGCGACTGGATAATGAAATTGAAACTACAAAAGCACCTGAAAGACAGATGGAACGCCTGTAGCAGATGCACAGCTATATCGTTGAGCACAGCCGTAAGTTTTCTTTCACAGAAGAGGATTTTCACAATGCGCGCAGCAGTAAATTTGGGAGACGCACTACGCATTTGCTTTTACAATGGCTTCAACAACTAGAATGGCCTACATCACCGGAGGAAGTTACACCACCAATTGGGATTACATGGGTTGAGCTGACCGTAAATTTCATGCTTTGTTCACAATCTTCAGTTCCGGTACAACCTCATCAAGAAGAACAGGGATTTACTATTCGAACCAACACCTTTCGCAATATCATTATGCATGTGCAGTTCCTCGTCAATAAAGAAATCATTCCTAAGCTTACACCTGTAAAGGTCAAATCACTTTATCAACTGGGGGCAAAGGTGCTGAAACAAGGGCTACCATTGCGTCCAAAACTTCCACTACAAGATGAAACTTTGGAAATCTTGCAAAAATACTTCAGGGAGCATGGCCAAAATGGTAAGGCCTGCTTCACGGCTATGCCTCACATTCCGTTAATGGATCCGGTTGTTACAACTGACTTGGATGAGACTTCTGAATTTACTCAGAAAGATCGCCAAAAACTGTACAGAGAACGCAGACAGCAGATGAAGGACGAGAACACCAATCTGGAACTTGCTGCCGACGACGATTAAATCTGTCAAAACGATGGGTATTTTAGCTAGCCAACAAACTGCGATGACCGGTGAACATCACAGGGGGAGTGGGATAACCTCCTTAGTAGTACTGGCCTTTATCTGTAGCATTGCTAGGAACCGAGGTGGTGGGTCCATCAAGCCTCTGTTGATCGCCAGTGTTTAACATCAAGGACTGTGTGGATGGGATTAGAGATGGTTTTAGTTCATGATAGGACCCTTCGCCTGGTCCCTCATTGACTATGGACGCAGTCTTCTCTTGCAGCTGCGGGGGGAAGGCTGTGGGCGCAAGCGTGTGGGCCGAACATCTCAGGTTGGTGAATTATTATATATCATTTACCCAGATATATTATATTCATATACACATACAAATTTATATGACATCATATTACATATATTATCACTATATATGATTTGCCCAGATAAATCTCTCCCGGTCGACCAATGCATGGCCCATGGCCGGTGGGAGGTGGCAGTGGGCCCTGCACCTTCTGCAGCATCTTCGCGCCCAAGATCTGCGCGGCAACGTGGTCGCTGTGAGCTCCGCGATGTTGGCATGCCACTGGGGGCAGCAGCCACTTGGCCGTGGTACGTGGTACGTGGCTAGGTAACATGGGGAAAAAAAGGGGTAACAGGTGTATCCCCAAATATCCCTTAAAATGCTCGAACTTTCTTGGTGAATTGTAATTTATCCAGAAAAGGATTATTGAGAAAACCAGTGGAGACATTTTTTGGAACGGCGTTGTCAGCTTGTTGACCTTCGAATTGGTGGCATCTTTAAATCGTGCCGATTCATGCCGATTCAATCTATGGAAATTCCATCCCGAAACTCCCACACCAGCAATTTGTTCGGATACCACAAAAACTCGGTGATTTTACCCTCTGGTAATTTAACATAGCTATTGAAAATCACCATTTATAGTGGATTTTCCCATTGAAAATGGTGATTTTCCATAGCTATGTTAAATTACCAGAGGGTATGACATAATTGGACCCCAAATCACTGCCATACTTTGAGGGAGCCACGGGAGCGCAGGTGGCAGATGGCCATTCACTTGTTGCAGACTCTGCAGGAAGAGCAACTTCAAGGTGGGGAGATGAAGCCCATGGGGGTAGCCCAATAGCTATCAATGTTTATAATGGATAATCCTATATAATCCTACGTAGCAAAATGGATGATTTGGGGGTATCCCCATTTTAGGAAACCCCCAAAGTGACTCGAGTTAGTGGCAGTCGGGGCAAACGCTGCGATTCTCTGAAAAAGGAATTGATTGACACTAAAGTCTGAGGAGTTAAGCTATTTCTGTTCTTCTGCTACGAGTATCCTGAAGTTTGCTGTCCAGGACTCGTTTTTCTTGAGTTTATGTTCGATTGTGTTGTTGGGTTTGCCCATGTTTGCCCATTCTTTGTAAATACCCAAACACACTAGACTCCGAACTATTTACTGTTTGAAACTGTCATACTTTTTTGGATGTGTCGCTCATCCACCCAGCAATTCTTCCTGACTCTTTCCACTATTCTTAGTGTTCTTTGGTCTGTCACTGCCTGATGACTGATCATAGTGGCCGTAAAAAAGATAGAAACCGTTTTATTTGCCACTATGACTATGACTAGACTCCTGCTGCTGCTACTGCTAATAATCATAAGAAGAAGGGTCAGAAGGGTAGTAGTAGTAGTAGTAGTAGTAGTAGTAGTAGTAGTAGTAGTAGTAGTAGTAGTAGTAGTAGTAGTAGTAGTAGTAGTAGTAGTAAGTAGTAGTAGTAGTAGGAGGAGGAGTAGTAGTAGTAGTAGTAGGAGTGATGATAATAGTCATAACAACAATACTCACACAGGTATGGATTTCAACATTTTATTGTTTTGCCGGGTTGCTATCCACCCCATCCATTTTGTGGGTCCACCACCCACCGAACATTTTCTTCAGGCAACATCCTCACCTACAACGCTGCCATCGCTGCATGTCATGGGGGCGGTCAATGGCGAAGAGCCTTGTGGCTGCTGGCGGAAGCACAGAGCTATCAATTGGAGGGGAACTCGAAGCTTGCCCATTGAAAATGGTGGATTTAAGGATGATTTGACCATCAAGAAAGTGGACTTCACCAACGAAAATGTTGGTCAAATGGGGATATTAATTGGATTTAATTGGGATACAATTCTTGCCCTTTTTGAAATGAGCAGTGACCAGTTGACCCTGGCTAATTGGTTATACCAGGGGTCACACTACCCAATCTATGAATATACACCACATTCTTGGGGAATGCATACCCGGCATACCCATTTGCCAGCTTTTTGGTGTGAACAGAAGTTTATCAGGGTTTTGACTAATGGATGAGGATGAGGATGAGGATGAGGATGAGGATGATGATGATGATGATGATGATGATGACGATGACGATGACGATGATGATGATGATGAGGATGATGATGATGATGAGGATGATGATGATGATGATGATGATGATGATGGGATACAGTCGGATTCTAATCCTGCAATGAAGATAGGGGAATCCATACGCATGAAAGCTGTCTTGGAACAAATACTGTACATCTTGATTTTCAGTGGGGGACCTGTCTCTGAAATCATTTGGGATTGTAAAACATGGGGATGTTAACGAACCAATAATGGTGGATTTGAAGGATGTACCTTATGGAATACATTGAAATGATCATGCTGAACATATTATATATATTATATGGGTAAATTATAACGACCTCACTGCGACCTCACTGGGAATCATGGTTAATAAGGGGAATCATCCCCAAATGGCCTTAATTCAGGTTAGTGAAATATTATAATTTACCCAGATATATATAGTTCAAACATGTTTAAACAAACAAATGAAAAAATCAACATGGAGGGCGGTTGGATAGGTGAGGATGTCACGGTAGGTGAAAGTGGGTGGAGTTGACCGTGTCCAGGATCACTTACAATGCAGCGCTGAGTGTTTGCAGCTGCCAAGAGCAATGGGCATTTTGGCTTGGAATCCACAGGTTTCTGGGCCCCTAAGGATAGGTTCTGTTGGCTCCTGCAAAGGCGAAGTAGGATTTATGGTGGATCTATAGTTGGATGAGGTTAAACCATCTTCTAACTTGGGGGGTTCCTGCAACATTGTCACATTGTATGGAAGGTGAAGATGGTGCAGATCATAAACTCAACTTCAGTCGGAGGAAACCAGCTAAACTGACAACTGGTCTCGCAAAACTGGACAGATACGACAGGGGTCTAGAACAGTTTTTTTGGGAGCGGCCCAGACCCCAAACCCACCAATTTTATGAAGGTCTTTGAACGGAATTCGACACAGTTTTCTGAAGGTGGCGATTTTGCTTACTATCGGAAGAATCACAATTCTTGGTAAGAATCACATTGCAGTTTTTGCCCAAAGAATCACACTTTTTTGGTTTTTGCACCTTAATTCTGTAAGTCAAACATTGAATCCCCAATTCTCGTGGCAAAACCCCGTGTTTTTTCGTTTCCTGTGGATGAAATTCGCGACTCGCTTCGCGACGCCCAAGGCGCATGCTTTGCAGCTTTTGGAGCACTTTCCAGTGGAGCACTGGGAGACGTGCTCAGATCCATTCGACAGTGCGGGCAGATGTGACCGTCGACCTACGGTAAACAAAGAAAAACCTATTGAAAATAGCCCATAGAAATAGTGGATTTACCCACTAAAAATATTCATGCTTGAGATTTTCTGTTTTGTAAACGTTTACATAACTATGGAAAATCACCATGTTTATATAATGGGTAAATCCACTATAAATGGTTATTTTCAATATTTTTTTGTATGTTAACCAGAGGGTACAACAACCATCTCAAACCAGTGGTGCCACGGTTGATGTGACACAAAATTTGGCGCCTCATCGTCATTTCACCGAGGATGTCATCACCTTTGTTGAAGCCATCAGCGTTGAGACAGCGAGGATGTCATCGCGGACGCCAAGAGTATCTGAGTCTCAGCTGATCTCAGCTACCATTTGAGGATGATAATGATTCTATTTACCACCCATCTATGGTAATGTTGTAGTAAAATGTCATAACTGGGTTAGTTGTAGTTTACCAGTAGTACCGCACAAGGCGGTGGCGGAAGTTTCAAAAATAGGAAACCTATATATAGGAGAGGTTGGTTGTTGTGAATCAGGGATGGCAGAGCGAAGCCACTGATGGACCGAAAGATGGTTGAGGTGTCCTCTCTTTCTCTTTCTCTCACTATCTACCTACCTACCTACCTACCTATCTATCTATCTATCTATCTATCTATCTAACGATCTATCGATCTATCGATCTATCTCTCTCTCTCTCTCTTTCATCTAATTACCTATCTATCTACCTATCTATCTATCTATCTACCTATCTATCTATCTCTCTCTCTCTCTCATCTGTCTATCTGTCTAGCTGTCTACCTGTCTATCTACCTATCTATCTATCTCTCTATCTATCTATCTATCTATCTATCTCTCTGTCTGTTTGTCTGTCTATCTGTCTATCTGTCTATCTGTCTGTCTGTCTATCTGTCTACCTGTCTATCTGTCTACCTGTCTACCTGTCTATCTGTGGTGCAGTGTCATTCAGTGTAATGTAGTGTAGTGAAGTGTAGTGGAAGGTAGTGTAGTGTAATGTAGTGTAATGTAGTGTAGTGGAGTGTAGTGTAATGTAGTGTAGTGTAATGTAGTGTAGTGGAGCGTAGTGGAGTGTAGTTGTGTAGTCGTAGTTGTAGTGTAGTGTAATGTAGTGTAGTGGAGCGTAGTGGAGTGTAGTTGTGTAGTCGTAGTTGTAGTTGTAGTGTAGTGGAGTGTAGTGCAGTGTAATGTAGTGTAGTGTAGTGTAGTGTAGTGGAAGGTAGTGTAGTGTAGTGTAATGCAGTGTAGTGTAATGTAGCGTCATGGAGTGTAGTGTAGTGTAATGTAATTTAGCGTGGTGGAGTTTAGTGGAATGTAGTTGTGTAGCTGTAGTTGTAGTGTTGTGTAATGTAGTGTAGTGGAGTGTAGTGTAGTGTAGTGTAGTGAAATGTAGTGTAGTGAAGAGAAGCGACATCTGAACCTCCAAAAGTGGTCCAAAACCCTTGTGTTTTTAACATTTTGACTTGGAAATGTGCTTCGCGCCACAACGGCGTGCACTTTTTCAACATCTCAACTGCCAAAAGTGGTCCGAACATGGTGTGTTTTGTACATTTTGACTTGGAAATGTGCTTCGCGCCACAACGGCGTGCACTTTTTCGACATCTCAAGTGCCAAAAGTGGTCCGCACCCCTAGTGTTTTTAACGTTTTGACTTGGAAATGTGCTTCGCGTTTCAACATCTCAACTTCCAAAAGTGGTCCGAACGTGGTGTGTTTTGTACATTTTGACTTGGAAATGTGCTTCGCGCCACAACGGCGTGCACTTTTTCGACGGTCAGTCCCTCGCTTAGGCCTACGTTTTGGCTCGCTTAGGCCTACGTTTATGATATATGACTACAGTATCAATAGAAACATATATAGATGTATTTGAGCACTGTATTTCACGTGCCTTGACGGAGAGTTGAGAATGTATCGGAAACATTTTGCAAGTTACTTGCGAAATATGATACAAAGTATGAGGAACGTCTTGCATGTTACTTGACGAAGATGATACAACATACCAGGACAATCATTCAAGGTTCTTGAAGAAGCTGTGACAACGTGCCAGGAACGTCTTGCAAGTTACTTGCAGAAGATTTCACAACGTATCAGGAACGTGTTGCAAGTCACTTGAAAAAGATGTTACAACGTATCAGGAACATCTTGCAAGTTACTTGAAGAAAAGTTTACAACGTATCAGGAAGGTCGTGCAAGTTACTTACAAGTAGGAAGATGTTGCAAGTATCAGGAACGTCTTGCATGGTACTTGACGAAGATTTTACAACATAGCAGGAACATCATCAAGGTTGGAACATCATCAAGGTTCCTGAAGAAGCTGTGACAACGTGCCATGAACGTCTTGCAAGTTACTTGCAGAAGATTTCCACAACGTATTAGGAACGTGTTGCAAGTCCCTTGAAGAAGATGTTACAACGTATCAGGAACATCTGGCAAGTTACTTGAAGAAAAGCTTACGACGTATCAGGAAGGTCGTGCAAGGTACTTACAAGTAGGAAGATGTTGCACGTAGCAGGAACGTCTTGCATGGTACTCGACGAAGATGTAAGGCCCGTAAGGCCCGTAAGGCCCGTAAGGCCCGCAAGGCCCGTAAGGCCCGTGGAGCCCGTGGAGCCCGTGGAGCCCGTGGAGCCCGTGGAGCCCGTGGAGCCCGTGGAGCCCGTGGAGCCCGTGGAGCCCGTGGTCGTTCAGAAAGGTTCTTCTCGAAGATGTTACAACGTATCAAGAACGTGTTGCAAGTCACTTGAAGAAGATGTTAGAACGTATCAGGAACATCTGGCTATACTTACTTGAAGAAAAGTTTACAACGTATCAGGAAGGTCGTGCAAATTACTTACAAGTAGGAAGATGTTGCAAGTATCAGGAACGTCTTGCATGTACTTGACGAAGACGTTACAACATAGCAGGAACATCAATCAAGGTTCCTGAAGAAGTTGTGACAACGTGCCATGAACGTTTTGCAAGTTACTTGCAGAAGATTTCACAACGTATCAGGAACGTGTTGCAAGTCCCTTGAAGAAGATGTTACAACGTATCAGGAACATCTGGCAAGTTACTTGAAGAAAAGCTACGACGTATCAGGAAGGTCGTGCAAGGTACTTACAAGTATGAAGATGTTGCACGTAGCATGAACGTCTTGCATGTTACTCGACGAAGATGTAAGGCCCGTAATTACCGTAAGGCCCGTAAGGCCCGTGGAGCCCGTGGAGCCCGTGGAGCCCGTGGAGCCCGTGGAGCCCGTGGAGCCCGTGGAGCTCGTGGTCGTTCAGAAGGGCTCTTCTCGAAGATGTTACAACGTATCAAGAACGTGTTGCAAGTCACTTGAAGAAGATGTTACGACGTAGCAGGAACGTCTTTCCTGTGTGTGCACAGGAACATGAACGGTATTACCCCACCCCACCCCAGCGGTAACTGATCATGAAAGAGCAGTGCAGTGCGTGTGTCTGCAGGACAGCAAGAAAGATGATGAGGTTGCTGTGCCTGACTCCATGTCCCAGCCCCGTGTCCCCAAGTGTCCCCAAGTGTCCCCAAGTGTCCCCAACTATTCCCTTAACCCACCCCAAGTGTCCCCAAGTGTTAACCTAAAGGTCTGTACCCCATGGAGTAACCCACCCCATGTCCCACCCCAAGTGTCCCCAAGTGTTAACCTAAAGGTCTGTACCCCATGGAGTTGGTTCCCCAAACCCACCCCATGTCCCACCCCAAGTGTCCCCAAGTGTCCCCTAAACACACCCCAAGTGTCCCCAAGTGTCCCCTAAACCCACCCCAAGTGTCCCCAAGTGTTAACCTAAAGGTCTGTACCCCATGGTGTTTACCCTGAAGTCAACATAAAAAATGTCGGCCTAAGTGAGCCAAAAAGTGGGCCTAAGTGAGCCTTGGACCTTTTTGGACATCTCAAGTGCCAAAAGTGGTCCGCACCCCTAGTGCTTTGAACATTTTGACTTGGAAATGTGCTTCGCGCCACAACGGCGTGCAATTTTTCATCTCTCCTCTGGCCGCACCCGCCGCTTTAGCGAGCCTACTTTTCGACCCTCCGGAGCCACAAATCATTGGAAAAACACAGTGAATCGCGACTCTTCTCTTCTTCTGATCTTTCTCTTCTCTCTGCCTCTTCCCTGCTCTGCTTTTCATCTGTCCATATTGTCGGAAGTTTGACTTCTAAACTTCCTTCGATAACTGAATGTTGAGATAGTTTATAACTGTTTTTCCCGCATTCAGTAGTATATTTGGTGACCATGCTAACATTGTCATGTATTGTGTGAAGGATTGCTGGACTTCTGGCATCTGTTTTCTTGTGGATGACAATACTTGTCTTTTCCAAAATGAGTGACTGAATGTGACTGATAGATCTGGGTGAGCCACGTGGTTCCAAGATTTGGACCAATTTCATGATTTGGCCATATGGTCAAAATGTGGTTGTGTTGTTTGTTCTATGCCCATTTTTGTCAAGCATCCATCTTCACTATGTGTGCATGATGGAAATTGACATCCAAGTATTCGTTGGTTGACGAAATATGAATCACTGTATCTAAATATATTCGAGATATCCAAAGGTTTGTTGTTCAGTCATTCTTCTTCAGCGGCAATCATTCGGCCAGCATCCCCATTTATTATATATATAATATTATATAACATATATATACATTATATTACATATTATATATATATTATATATATATGATATTATATATTATAATATGTAATGTGATTATAATTATATCTCCATGATGTTCCCATCCACACAAATCCCTGTCCACAGAAGTCCCAGGAGTTCATGGCGGATCTTCAGGCGAAAGCCACCAGCCTTCTTTGTACCGGCACCGACGATCCGACGGCACCGACGATGCGAAAAGATCCGGTCCTTTTTTTGGAACGAAACGTTGGTGCCCAAATCATGGGAAAATGGTGATTTAATGGGATTTCAATGGGAAAATCATGGGAAAATGGTTGGAAAATGATTGGAAAATGGTGATTTCATGGGATTTCAATGTTTTTTTTTCTTATAGGGATATTTCAATGTATTTCATGGATACCCTCTGGTAGACGTTTACATAACTATGGAAAATCACCATGCTGTTGATGGGTAAATCAACTATTTCTATGGCCATGGTTTCAATAGTTTTTTGTATGTTTACCAGGCCGGGTAAAATTGAGATTTGGGGCTGTCAACCAAGTCATGGGGGATGCCCAAATGATTTGTTTGAGTCCTCTCAAGTTAATTTGCTGGACATGTTGAGAAAATCACACCTCAGATTGGCCCAAACTGTCCATTCTGACCTTGGCTTGTGAAAGACACATCCCCTTGAAGCTTTTCAGAAATGGCACCCGTGGCAACCGTTCTCCTGGTCCTGTTCAGCACCAGCGTGGCAACGCGCAATGGTGACTCTGAGCACATCGAGATGTCATTGATGAACGATGAAAAGGAAACTATGGAAAAGAAAAAACCAACGAAACTCATCTGGAATGTTGCAAGCATGGTTTTCTTTGGAGTTCTTTCAAATCGTGAAGTAATGTATGCAAAAACTATTCTGATTTAGTGACACTTAGTGTATTATATAGATTCTTTGTTTCTGTTTGGTCCCAATACAAGCAGCATGGCTGGGGCTTCAGCTTCCTTGGGGTCGAGTTTTGCTCTTGCTGTGAGGTATGGCGAGGCATGCGATTGCAGTGCCGAAAGTCCATGGGGTGCACAGCATTGCTGTGACAGTGGCTTGGTTTGCAGCAGGTCCAGCAAAACCTGCAAGCCAGCTCTGGGCAAACAGTGCACTCCCTCTTGGATTCCAGGCTACACCGACTGTGCCAAAGGTACCTACAACGCCGACATCAAATGCAGGCCCTATAAACATATGCCAGAAAAGGGATGGTGTTGCCTCAAGTCGGGTAGCTGGGTCCCACCCACTCATAGCAAACTCATTTGCTGCGATGATCACATCACATGGAAGAACGCCAAGATGTACTGCAGCGCCACACCTGAGTGATCGGCAGGAGCGACCGTGGCCATGTCTGTGTTGGAAAGGGCGTTGGTGTCAGCAGTTTCAAACTTCATGACCTTGGATTCAAAACATTAGACTTTGGAGGCATGAACCAGATGTAAACGTTTCTTTTTACATGAACTATTATGACTGCAGATGAATTGCTGAGCATGGGGTCCATGGGGATTGGTGGGGTTGCAAAAGGATGGAATATGTTTATATATTTTTTCCTGCACGCTCACTGTTGTCAAATGTCCATCTTCACTATATGTGCATGATGTAAATTTACATCCAAGTATTCGTTGGTTGACAAATTCTGAATTACTGTATCTATGGTTCACTTATATCATACTTACATCCCTGATATCCAAATGTTTGTTGTTTAGACATTCATCTTCAGCTGATATTCCGATGAAATCCCCACTCATCCCTTGAAAAATCTCAAACTTCTATAAACAACTGCAAATCCCTACAATGTGAGGTCCCCCAGTTATAAGTTGGTTTATAAGCCCCAGTAACTAGTTCGTTATAAGTACCATAAACCATAGTTATTGGAGTTGTGTTCACCAACTGAACGCTATCGTGGCCGGGGGCCTCACATTGTACAAATCCCATCGGACTTTGGCTGAAGAGCCCCTTGGCTTCCGCTGAGGAGTTCTTGACCTTGGCGCATATTTCGACCACACTGATCTGAGACCGAAACGCCCGTGGCCAAACGACCGCTGTGCGCGGCTCGGGGGTTCTTGTCACCAAGTTACCCTCTGGTCATTTGTTATATGCTTTAGACCCACATGGTGAAAAATCCGGTAGTGCTTAACCCATAATAAAGCACTATCCTGGGTCAACAAATGATGGTGGAACCAGATTTAAACAAACATAGCTATTGAAAATGACCCATGTATGGTTGATTTACCTATTAAAGATGGTGATTTTCCATAGTTATGTTAGTTTACCAGAGGGTACCATGGTTGTGAAAAAATAGATGATGACTGGAGTACCGATTTGGGGTACCTCCATGACTTCGGAAAGCTCCAAAAGAAGCTGCACTTGTAGCAACTTTGACATGTTTTAACCAATCTCGCAAATATTGTAATTTGTTTGAATCCTCTCAGGTTAATTTGCTGGACATGTTGAGAAAATCACACCTCAGATTGGCCCAAACTGTCCATTCTGACCTTGGCTTGTGAAAGACACATCCCCTTGAAGCTTTTCGGAAATGGCACCCGTGGCAACTGTTCTCCTGGTCCTGCTCAGCACCAGCGTGGCAACCCGCATGAGTGACTCTGAGCACACAAAGATGTCATTGATGAATGATGAGATGGAAGCTTGGTGGGCGGGGGTGAAGAAGAAACCAACGAAACTCATCTGGAATGTTGCAAGCATGGTTTTCTTTGGAGTTCTTTCAAATCGTGAAGTAATGTATGCAAAAACTATTCTGATTTAGTGACATTTAGTGTATTATATAGATTCTTTGTTTCTGTTTGGTCCCAATACAAGCAGCATGGCTGGGGCTTCAGCTTCCTGAGGGTCGAGTTTTGCTGCTTGCTGTGAGGTATGGCGAGGCATGCGAATGCAGTGCCGAAAGTCCAGATGAGCAGCCATGGGATTGCTGTGACAAAGGCTTGGTTTGCAGCAGGTCCAGCAAAACCTGCAAGCCAGCTCTGGGCAAACAGTGCACTCCCTCTTGGATTCCAGGCTACACCGACTGTGCCAAAAGTACCTACAACGCCGACATCAAATGCAAGCCCTATGCAGACAAGCCAGAAAAGGGATGGTGTTGCATCAAGACGGGTAGCGAGGTCCCACGCGCTGGTTTTTTTCAGAGCCTTGCTGCGATGGTCACACAAGATGGAAGGGCGCCAAGATGTACTGCAGCGGCACGGCTGAAGAGTGAGCGGCAGGAGCGACCGTGTTGGAAAAGGCTTTGGTGTCAGCAGCTTCAAACGCACAACTTTCGATTGAACAAAATAAATAGACTGTGGAGGCGTGAGCCCGATGATGCCAGATGTATGTGTTTTCTAACATCAGGGTTTCTAGGGGCATATTTCAGGGTCGGGTAGGGATTATCTGACCATCATATCCAGCGCTGCCTCTGTGAGCTTTTGACGGCCCGAACAAGTGGCAGAGAGGCATGAGATCTGACGCCAGCAACAGGATCTGAATTTTGATCTCTTGGGCAGATATTGCTTGTTTTAAGTTGTTAGATGCATTTAGATACTGTTTCCAAAAATGAGATGAATCTATTGCAAACAATAACTACTTTCTTGGTGTAGGTACCAAGCACTTCAAGTTTCCCTCCAATTGCGTGCAATTGATAGAATGGTTAGCCAGACTGGCTTCAACGCGTGATTGAGCAGATGTCGCAAAATAATAGCCGATGTCACCAATGTTTCGATGCTCCACCAATTTCTTGGCAGCGCCCTAGCCATTTCTGATGCAACGTTGCGGCTTTCAACTGGGTGTGGGGCTCCAGATGCTGCGTGGTGTGATATGTTCTTGAGCTGTGATGGGTGTGTCTGAAAATACGTTGCCACAAAATCAAAAAAAAACATGAAAATCCCATGGGTTAGAACACATGTTTTCCATTTTAAAACAGCTGCTTTGGCGGGCAATTTCCATTTTTTGGACAAGACCAGGTCTGTATTCTGTTTGGCGTTTTGGTCATCACAGATTCGACAAAAAAAATCACATAGGTCTAGATCCGTCCCCAAGTTGTTTTGGTGGTTTCAAATATATGGGGGGTTCCTAAAATGGGGGTACCCCAAAATCATCTATTTTTGCAATTTTCAAAGGATTTTCCACTGTAAACCATCCATTTTTGGGTACCTCTATTTGTGGAAACCCATATATGTTTTATTCCCATTGGATCCTACGGAGTATATGTGTCAATCATCATCCAATCCTGAACGGTAAGACTCTTGAACGAATCCCCACCGGGACCCATTTTTTGGTTGCTCCTCAAATTTTGTTGCTTTATCCATGTTTATCCCGAAAAAGGTTCATCCAAATATTCTTGCTGTCACTCCTGGGGAAATATGTTTTGTTCAGGTAGTTGATTGGGTAAACCATGTTAAGCCACCTGAAAGGTTTTGTTTCTTAAACCCGCCGATTCCCTTGTGATTGTTGCGATTAGAATCCCCATTGATGTCTTCCCTCCGCCGATTTCTGAAGGCCGAGCTGATCAGATGTGTCCGTCGTGATCGGCCGAAGAAGACTGCGCTTCAGTTGGTGACAGGATCGTCCGGGCCTTGCTGGAACTATGGTCGAGTTACATGGCTAACCCACTATCATTGGGCATTCCAAAATATAGAGAGCATTTTCGTAACGCCAAAAAGATGCAGAAATTTAAAAGATGAAATTCTAAAATAGTGGTAAAGCTAACGTATTCTGTTTTTTTTGTTGAGGCTTCTCTGGTTTTAGTCTCTATCACAGGGGGATGACCATATCCCAATATTGGTTAATCATGGTTAACCTAATTGAATGTTTGATTGTGATCCATATCTAAATCCCTTACAAGTCGGTCAGCTGGCAAACGTGAAGGGTACAACCGCAGCCGTCGATCTCGAGACCCCCCCCAAATCGGTGTAGGTGGTTCTTGCCGGTGCAGAGACTGCTTGTTCAGCACACGGCCGCAAGGCAAAGTCTGAAAATGGGTATAGTGTTACCATATAGAAAACCCAAATTGCAATATTTTAATCTGGAACGTGATGCTAAAACATGATAAAACTATACGAAACCTGTGGATTTTTCCTACAAATTTCCCAATGTTTGTTACTGTTTCCATTTCGACCCTAGAACGGTACAGATCCCCAGGAGATGTCGCTGGTGGCGGGCGCGACACTACTGAATGGCATTGGCCATTTGGTCTCCTGGATACATGGCGGACCCGTTGCGGTGACAAAAAAATGTGATCTAGATCTGGTTGGTGGTTTGGAACTAATATTTGTAATTATTTGTATATATTTGTTTATTATGGGATTAATAATAGGATTATAACAGGATTAATAATAGGATTAATAATGGGATTACTGGTTGGTGGTGACTGGAACCATGGAATTTTGAATGACTTTCCATATATTATTGGGAATTTCATCATCCCAACTGACCAACTCATATTTTTCAGAGAGGTTAGCAGCAACCACCAACCAGTAATCTTAGCAACAAACTGTGGGAACATGTCTGGTTGAACCAGTGAAGTAAGCATGGAACATTTGACCAAATGCCTTGATTTTTCAGCAGAAGATGTTGGAACTGCAGAACATTTTTTGGGCCGTCAATCAAGATACCCTCTTGTAAATCAACATAGACCCTGAAAATAACCAATTTTTAATGGAAACTAATCTTCCCCTATCTGGCAGGGTCTATGTTAATTTACTGGAGGGTAAAGGGGAATTAAAGGAACGACTGATGGGACCGGGGTCGGGGGAAACCTCGTAATTTGAATCTCAAATTTCGGTGATTTCTGCTGGACAAAGTTTCGTGGGATTTGCCCAATCCAAGGTGTGGAGGTAACTAAGTTGATTAGGTTTCGAACACTTGGTAAGCCATGGGAGATCCAGTTGGCAAGGATTTCAAATGTAAAAAAGGATACGATAACTGGTTGGTGCTGACAGGAACCATGGAATTTTGAATGACGTTCCATATATTATTGGGAATTTCATCATCCCATTTTTCAGAGGGGTAGGTAGGTTGAAACCACCAACCAGGTCATCAATTCCATATGGACTTCACCATGACCTCGTGAGGCAAATTTGGGTCAGTTCGTGGAGATCGGACAAGGGCAGGCGTGGAGGTTTCTGTGGAGGTTTCTGTCAGGATCAGTCCCAGAGTCACCATTGGTTGTTTCAACAATGTTTGGTCCATGACGATTGGATTTGGGCTATCCCGGTATCCATGGCTATCCCGAATTTGAGGACATCTCCTTATCTGGTTGGTGGTTTGGAAAATGAATTGTATTTTTCCATATATTGGGAATTTCATCATCCCAACTGACTTTCACTCATATTTTTCAGAGGGGTTAGCAGCAACCACCAACCAGTTATAGACGACCAGTCGACCTCACCGTTAAGGATTGATCCAGCAACAGCAACGGCAAAACTCTTCGAAACTGCACAGTCTGTACAGTGAAAGGAACATGTTGAAATCTCGAATCCATAGCCTTGTTTCACTGGGTGCCTCTTCCAGCTGTTACACCCGGAATCGGCTGTTTGTATCTTTTGTGTGTAATCATCCTGAAGTAAAAAACAACAACATGGAAAAATACATCAAATTCATAGCCCCTGGAGTTTCCTCTAAAAACGACCCCTAGCGGCTGTACAAAGGGGCCTTATGGAGATGGCCCAGTTTTACATTCCCAGGTGCGTGGCCTAGAAATCTTAGAATGTGGGTAACGAATGCCATTTGCACCATCCCCCAGTCACCATTTTGATAGGGGTATAAACCATTCCCAGTCATGGGTGGTAAACATGACATTGGACATTACCCACATAAAAATTGGATATTGGAAAATACTTACTTGTGCTTAGTAGGGAATGAGGGAATGATCCACTGGCTAAGTATCAATAATAATCCCAGCAACCCCCAGCAACCCATCCATTCCCTACGTAAAACGCACCAGTAAGTGGGAGATTTTCCAACATCATTGATATCCACGAACAAAAATCCCATTGAATCCCTATGAAATCACCCGAAAAGCACATTAAATATCCACAACTTGGGTCATTTTGCCAGTTCCAGCCCCTTTTTTCCACGTTGGATCCCTTGGATCGCAGTTTTCCTGCGAGGCGTTTCAGCGGGAGCAGATGCAATGGGCGCGTCGCGCCTATTGCCTGGACTCTAGAGCCCTCAGGAGCGGCGGTCGCTGGCCGGTAAACGTTTACAGTTTGCGAACTTAAAAATGGCCATTTATGGTTGATTTACCTATAGTAGAAATGTGTAAAAAATGTGATTTTCCATAGTTATGTAAACGTTTACCAGAGAGTATAGGATTGGAGGAATCACCTCAGCCATGAACTTAGAGCTGTATCATGTACTATAAGTTAGAGGGTGAGGTGATCAAAACATATCAAAACTGCCAGATGGATCTCGGTCAACCTAGGTCAACTGGTGATAGGAATGTCAAGCACTGGTTCATCAGAAGCTCGGGGAGGTACCACATAGGTGGAGGTGTCCAAAAGGTATCTGAAAAGGGGTATACCCCCCGATCATCAGATACTTTGAATGGGGAAGAACGAGATTGTCAACCAGATTTTTTTTGGGCGGGTCTATTTTCTGGCAAACCAAGATACTGTTACTGTTAAGAACTTCTGTTCCTGTAATCCGGTTTCACAGTCGTCCTTTGGCAGGAGGTTAAGCCACTCATAACTTCATAACTGGCGATATTGACGACTTTCTTAACATAAACTGATTAACATCGACTCATTCACCAAAGTTACTACCTACTTGTTGGAACAAAATGTGATTTTTTCCATGAATTCTCCATTTATATCCCATATATATCCATATATATCCCCCATCCATTCCCAATGATTCCCATATTTACCATATTTTTCCCTGGAATTCACCGACATTTTCTCATTGGATTGGTTTGAGTGAAAATCTACAGGAAACCATGGTTTTTACTATTAAATATGGGGATTTCCGGAAAATTTTCCTGTAAACCAATCCAATGATTTTCACATCCTGAATCCTCACAGCTTCCGTTCGTGTCTCCAGGATTGATCTTCTGAATGCGGTGAAGGAAGATGTCCGGGACCATCATCAGACCTACGCCAGTCGCATCGATGCTCGGCGGTGAAAACGGTGATGGAAAATGGTGATTCAATGGGATTTAATGGGATATCCTAGGGATATTTCAATGGTCATTTCATGGATACCCTCTGGTAAACGTTTACATAGCTATAATTATGGAAAATCAACATTTTTTAGTTCGGTAAATCAACTATAAATGGCCATTTTCAATAGCTACGTTAAATTACCAGATAGTAGTTTTTTTGATCAGAGATATAAGATATGAACATGAAGTGTGGTGACATGTTCTGTACTGTAGCTTCGGGGCGCCGGCTTTTCACAGACACAATGATATACCGATTCAGTTGTCCATAGGCGTCTCACTTGTGGTTTTGTGGGCATGACCGGGAGTGCCTTCAGAAGCATACAATGATATTTCATCGCATTGTCCGGTAGTATCAATGGGAATTTCAGCATCCTAAGTGAATATCCCCATAAAATATGGCCTTATATGGTACAGTACCTCCATTTTTTGATCCTGAAATTCCCATTGATAGTACTTGATTTTTGGATGCCTTCTAGTGATTCTTGGTAGGACCTTGTCTCCCGCTGAAATCTTTCTTTAATGGGATCTTCACGAATCTGTGGCTGATAGCAACATTTTGGATAGTTTTGGCACATAAAACTGGACAACAAAAAACACTGGAAACCAGGAATTTTCGATGAATTTGATCAAAGGCCATTTCAGGAACCGATTGATTGGAGGTACCTACCATATATAAGGCCTATATTTTTCAGGCCTATGTAAGGGGATATCCCCCCAAAATATGGCCCAAAATATGGTACGTTTACGTACCTCCATCTGTTGGATCCTGGAATTCCCATTGATTTGAGTCACTAATGCTCGAGATAATGTTCATCCCCAAGGACACGCTGCTAGTGGTGCACACTTTGCTCCTGACCTTTGCTTTGGCGACCCTGCAGTACTCGGACCAGTTTGTGCCCGTTTCAGGCGTGGAAATGCCAAAAGTATCCAAAAATTAGCATCCTAAAGGATATACATGTAGGATACTATGATGAAGTTATACAGACATGTACAGACTTTAATAATCTTTAATATGCAATGAATTGCAGTGAGAATTATATGGAAGTTATAATATAGCAGAAGCATATATAATGTTTCTCTTGTTTTGATACGCCATGATGATATATGACATGATATAACATGTAATAGAGTCAGGTGCGCTCCATGCCCAACCTGAAGTCCAACGAGTCTCTGCCCTGAGCTGCGTCGCAGGTTGTGTGGAATGCGAGGAAAACGAGCATCCATGGCTTGTGCTGCGTTCTCAGACCGTCCAAGTGGATGTTTTTTTTTTCAAATATGGTTGAAATATCTTGCAATCATCATATCATCATTATATATCATCATCCATATTTAAACATCAAGAGTTGAAATGTAGAAAATCACCCAAGTGGATCTGGCTGAAATCCCATGTGTTGGTTTATTTTCTGGATGAAAACCTCTCGGAAATTGTGACCCTGGTTTTTATGTGTTTCAGGAATCCGTGGTTTTTTGCGCGATGCCAACATGTCACCATACCGGATCGAATTAAAACTCCATAAATATCAATTGTGGCTGCTTGCACCCCCTGTTGATTGATGAACATTTTTTATTTTCCATATAATCATGGGGAATACTAATCCCAAGTGACTACTCGTAGTCCAAGAACGTGAATACATTCGGGTTCGTGGCTTCGATCTCGTGTTTTTTCCATGTATTGGGAATTTCATCATCCCAACTGACTTTCATATTTTTCAGAAGGGGTAGGTCAACCACCAACCAGATGGGGTTATAGTATGTTATAGTGCCCAATGTATCGGCGATAAAATCACACTGAATGCGTATTTTCTTTGGAATGGCACAATTTTTGAAAGCATTTCTGCATTGGAACGTTTGGAATCTCGGTACGTGGGCTGATTCAAGGGCTAATTTTTTGGGAAGCTATGCTTTGTACCAAAAGTATCCCAAAGTTGTATCAAATGTTTCGAAGTTGTCTCTGGATTTGATAAAACATGTTTTAAAATCCATTTCTAGATTCGAAAAAACAACAATTTCTTTGTCATAAAAAAGTGTAATGTTCCTCGATTTCTCTGATTAAAAAATCCACCTGTGACCAGGACCTGCTGGGTGTCCGGTGCTCAGCTGAGCCGCTGGAAGGTATCACAAACTAATAACGTTGTTATACCGCGAAATCATGGGAAACTCATGGGAAAATTGTTGGAAAATGATGCAAAATGGTGATTTAATATGGGATTCCAAGGGATTTTCATGGGATATTACCCTTTGGTAAATGAACAGTTCGACCCTGAAACAACATGTTTTGAGTGGAAGCTATTCTTCCAACCCCTCTACGTTAATTTAATAGAGGGTAGTTGACAAAATTGACACGTTTTTTAATATATCACATGCTAATCAACTATTATTGACAAAATAGCAAAGCACATTTATTTTCAAAGTCATAAAATTAGTCTACTCATGGAACATCCACCATTAAAATGCGACCATGACAAGAAAACTATCCCTTTTCGATATGCATACATAATGAATTGAAGGGTAGGCTATCAATTTTCTGGAGGCAAATGATTTTGAGGCATCCATCTTTTGAGACTCCTCGTATCTCCTAGTTGGGTCCTATTGGCTCCCCCTCTTCTAGAAGAATTGATGTGTTTGCGGTGTGAGATGTGGGCTGATTTTGGTCCCCCAGAAACATCATTGGCATCTTGGATGAACAATCGCAGCCACTCCCTGTTTCAAAAGCAACACAGAGTGACCTGCAGCAAACTATTGCAGGAGAGATCTCTCAGTCAATGTTATGTTGCCAGTCCTCTTTTTCGAAAAAACTTCTGTATTTATTTGGATTGAACGTGAACGGTGTGGCAGGTTGTTGGTATGCCTTATAAAACAAGGTGTGATTTTGCACGAACGATCCCAAAAACCGGGTTGGAACTAGAAGTTGACCAATGGATCTGGGGAAATGCTTGGGTATTAGCGGTTCGAATTCTGGTTCTTGGGCTTGCCAAAGGCCGTGCAGAACTTCCCCCACTGAGCACCAAGGTACGCCGTGTCAGGTATTTTGATCCTCCCCTTTTGGGGTCACTTGGCGAGTCGGGGCAGGAGACCGGAAGAAATGAGCTTAGTCTCAACATGCACTCAAGTTGCCGTGACGGATTCATAGACCTCCAGATGACTTGTACTTTGGCAGGATTTGTTCACTATTTTGGGGGCAATCCCCCCATAACTAATCAACAATTCTATGAGTCCAGGGTTGATATTATCCAGGGGGCATGGTGTCAGACACAACACTGCAGTTGAATTCAGATCACGATGAAGAGTTCGATAGGTGCTGAGTGTCAATTGGTTGTTTATATTCACACCGGTTTTCTTGTGTGATTCAGGCTAAGAATGCCCCAACATCGACATAGGGACACTTTCGTGCTTCTGATCTTCTGGCTGTCATGGCCTATTGCTTCCTTCTTCCATATATCAATGGTTGGTGATTTGCTTTACTGTAGGTGGTTTGCCTTAGTGTAGCTGGTGTGCATCTCATCCGTTTGCAGTTTGCAGATTATCATTTTGAGATCACGCCACGGAACCGCCAAATCACCAGTTCACTGCTCTGATTTCATTGGACATCATTTCAAACATGAAAAACCGATGATTTGGAATTCAGTGAACTAGAATTTCGGAAAAAAATCATTGATTGTTTTTTTTTCCGATTACATACTTCAGTGAATAATTTCCTATAGTAATGTCTGGGTGCTATTCAAGAACCCCTCGCAATTAAGTATGCCCAATCCCGGACATATTAATAACCCCCTCCGTAATAAAATACGCCTTTGATATGTTTTTTGTCCGTTGTTTTTCCATGTTTTTCCCAGTTTTCTTTCTGTTTTTTTCCCGTGTTTTTTCCGTGTTTTTCCCATTTGTTTTTTCTGTTTTTTCCCCTGTTTTTTCTGTTTTTTGGAAAGTTCTGGAGTTGAAAAAAATCAAGAAGGCTCAAATGGTTAGTTTCCTTACTAAACCCTTTCAAAAACATGCAAAACATCAATCGCGCAAGGGGGGTAGTCCTGAAGACCCTTAACATCTAAATAATAATGAAAATTTGCACCCCACTAAATAAAGTATTTGGATTTCAGGGGTCTAAATTTTTGTTGGATTCGTTTCTCAATTCCTTTCCTATTTGAACCCTTTTCAAAAAATAATTAAGATGCTCAACTACCTCATGAACCAAATACTTCATTTAATTGGGGGGTCTCCAAATAAAGTATTCTGAAATACGCTCCCGCGGCATGGAATACTAAAATGGAAAGAAAGTCCACTTATGTATTCGTTTTCAATTGGGCAATTTGTTTGGCGCCACATAGGTCTGGAAAATTTCCAGGGACCCCCGGCCAATGTTTGGCCTAAACTTTATTTTGATGCTCTTAATGTTTTCGGGGGTATTAAGAGCACGTCAACATTACATCCTATTGCAGTATAATTATCAATGAACCCATAAAATTAACCATGACTAACCCATTTTAATGAACCCATTCCCCATCCTATTACAGTATAAGTTCATCCCATTTTTTGTTGGCCCTTCCGGATCGCCGGATCTTCAGAACATTTCCCGTGCACCCGAGGCATTGTTTTGCTGCTGGGCCATAGGGATTATGGTGGTGTCTAATCCAATGGGACGAAGAATGGGACTGATATTGGTTGATAATGGTGAATAATAGTTAATAATGGGATTAATAATGGGATTATATAATAATGGGATTAATAATGGTTGATATTGGGATTAATAATGGAATTGATAATGGGATTAATAATGGGATTGCTGGTTGGTGGTTTGGAACCATGGTATTTTATGACTTTCCTTTCAGTTGGGAATGTCATTATCCCAACTGGCTTTCGTTCATATTTTTCAGAGGGGTTGAAACCACCAAGCAGGATTAATAGTGGGATTTATAATGGGATTGATAATGGGATTAATAATGGTTAATAGATTCTATTATGGGACTAAGAATGGTTAAAAAATTGTTAATAACGTAGTTAATAAGCCCTATGAATGGTGATTAGTAAATGATAGTTTCCATAAATGGCAGTACCCCAGTAGCTGGATGGTTTATAGTGGAAAGTCCGATTGAAATGGATGATTTGGGGGGTACCCCCATTTTGGGAAACCTCCAAGATCATCCCTTGAATAAACATACCATTCTATGGTCCCAATGATGTGGAAAGTGCCTGCTAAACTGTTACTAAACCATGGTTTAATATTGCGGGTGTTGAATATTAGGGGCAAGGGAATATAGCAAAATATAGTAAATGGATCTGATTTGATTCGAAGCACATCCAGATGGAGGTTGATGTAAATCGGAATGCCGCACACAGAAGTCATCCAAGGATTAGATGGTGTGGATGTCTCAAGACCCTTCGGGCAAACCGGTCCATTGATTCATCCTGCTGAACTACTGGTTGCGAAATCCTGCACCAGTTGATACAACTGGTGCAGGATTTCGCAACCATCCATAGTATCATAGTTCATTCATATTTTCAATGGCCATTTCAGGAACCGATTGATTGGAGGTACCTACCATATATAAGGCCTATTTTTCAGGCCTAAAATTCAGGGAATATCCCCACAAAATATGGCCCAAAATATGGTACTAACGTACCTCCATTTTAGGATCCTGAAATTCCCATTGATTGGGGATGTTTAATAGGGGAATGACTGAATCCATAACTATTCACAATCGTCCCTTTCACCCATTCCCATACCTATCATGATGTAACTATCATATGGATGTACCTATCATATGGAAATACCTGTGGATGTCAATAACTATCATATGGATATATGGAGCTTTCGTAAGTCATGGGGGGGGTACCCCTGTTCATCATCCATTTATAGATGGGATTTCCACCAAAAAAACATCTAGTCATTCATAAACATTCAACCAGCCATGAAAAAATTGCTGATTGCTGATGTTTTTTTTTGAAATTTAGATAATGTTTATATTATATTAATGTTGAAACCACCAGGTCGCGGGCGCGTCAGGCGCCTGCCGTTTTTATAGCGTTTCTGCATCAAAACGTCTCTTTTCAACTCTTTTAGCAGTTGTCGGCGTCGTTGTTTTTCACCAACTTTGCCAGCTCATTCAGCATGACCAGTGGTGTACAAGTTTGGAGATTACAGCTCCACACATATTGGAAACAACGACGTCGCAGAGATGGATTCACCTCTGACCCCACCAAAGTCTTCACTTTTCTGTGAAGATTGGAAAAAACAAATTTCTTCAGACTCAACAATTGTCGGTCGATTTGCTGCGTGCCAGCGATTTTAGACAACTTGGTACTGTTGATGTCAGTGAGCAGGCGGCAAAACTCTTTGTTTTGGTGATTCCGCCAATGCCAATGAACGTTAACATCCCCCCCACCCACCCACCCACCCACCCCCCACCCCAGTCAACGTAGCATCACGTAGTGTGCAAATTGAAGAGAACGTGCAGTAGCGTAGCATCACGTAGTTGTGTAAATTGAAGAGAACGTGCTGTAGCGTAGCATCACGTAAGTGTGCAAGTCCAATGAACGTTAACATCCCCCCCACCCACCCACCCACCCACCCACCCACCCGCCCACCCCAGTCAACGTAGCATCACGTAGTTGTGTAATTGAAGAGAACGTGCAGTAGCGTAGCATCACGTAGTTGTGTAAATTGAAGAGAACGTGCTGTAGCGTAGCATCACGTAAGTGTGCAAGTCCAATGAACGTTAACATCCCCCCCCACCCACCCACCCACCCACCCAGTCCAAACGTAGCATCACGTAGTTGTGTAAATTGAAGAGAAGGTGCAGTAGCGTAGCATCACGTAGTTGTGTAAATTGAAGAGAACGTGCAGTAGCGTAGCATCATGTAAGTGTGCAAGTCCAATGAACGTTAACATAACCATTTAAGACAGAAAACACACGAAATTACCAGGCGCCTGGTGCGCCCGCTGGCAACCACCAACCAGCCATTCATATTTCTTCCGTTTCCAGGGGCAACCGAGGCTCATATGGAGCAAACTGCAGTTGGATCACTGGCTGGAGGCTGCAGCACCACGGTTTACCACTGGTGGTTTAATGGTCATTTACCCTTTGGTAAACAAGCATAACTATGAAAAATCACCATTTTAAATTCGTAAATCAACTATTTCTATGGCCATTTTCAATAGCAAACTGTTTGTTTACCAGAGGGTAACGAAAATGGTGGTATAACTTTGGGAATAATTACACTATTTCAATAAGTAAATCATCTATAAATGGTACATTTTCCATAGCTATGTTGGTGTATTGGAGGGTAGATACCCTGCGGTGTCAGAAAACCATGGGTGGGACATCTCCGAACTAAGCGGGTATTTTTTCATGTGATCATGGAACTCAAAATTCACTAAACTTTCGCGGATTTTGCATTCTTAGCATGTTTGAATTACCAAAGAGTAAGAATAATTGAGAAGTGGGTAACCATCTCAAAATTTTATCCTTCGCGGACCCACCAAATGGCTGATGAAATTTCATTCAATTTTGAGCGGGACGACTTTTTGTTTGTCCTACAGGTTCTTTGTTGATAATGTTGATAATGGTAAAACGTCAACCATGTTTCACGATTGAATCAGTTTCAGTTGCAATACCAGCAAAGACGTTTTTTTTTGTCTTGCTTGGTTTCCTTTGTTTAGTCGACCAATGTATCTCCTATGGTGAACATATGATTACCATTACCATGTCTAAGGCTTGAAGCAGGCAGATCTCTAACTGTTCGACCCCCCGCATGTGATTCTGCTTGGTCAAACGGTCACTTCTCAGCAATGCTGGGCTTGTCCAGCAATTTGGTATGCCAGTACCCTCTGGTAAACATACAAGAAACGATGGAAAATCACAATTTTTTCATGGGTAAATCAACTTTAAATCACCATTTTCAACAGCTTTTTGTATGTTTACCAGAGGGTATACCCCAAAATGTCCAATTGAACAGCGGAAAATTAGGATACCGTCTGGTAATCTAAGCTATGAAAGATCACCCTTCTTGAGAGGTAAATCATCACTTAAATCATCCATAAATGGGTCATTGTCCATCGCGATCTGAAAAAACCAGAGGGTAAACCATTGGATTTTTAGGGCTGTGCCGTTTTTGAGCAAACCCATTTGTTGGGCACAATAATCCACAAATTGGGAACATCCCCGTCAAAATAGATGGGTCCAAACCTGCCCAAACCCGTGTACTTTGAGCCCCAAATTAGCTGGATCTTCATCTCTGCAACCAAAGATATAGGTTTTGACCCGTTCACAAAGAATCCAAATATCTTGGTAAATTATAACGACCTCACTATTCTCCCTCAGAGGAATGATGGTCAGTAAGGGAAATTATCCCAATATAGCCCAACATTTCAGGTTTGTGAATTACTATAATTTGCTCAGAAATACCCTCTGGTAAACTAACATAGCTGTTGAAAATCACTATTTTTAGTGGGTAAATCAACTATTTCGACTGTGCCATTTTCAATGCAAACTGTTAAATTACCAGAGGGTACATCCACCAATATCCTAGTATTATCCCATCATTTTCCCATTATCATCCCTATAAAACCATATTAAACCATAGTAAACCAGAGGGTACATCCAAGTGTTTGAACATCTGGTCCCCCAAATTCAGATGGAGAAAAAAACCTCATTTTCTTCGACAGCTGATTCGTAAAACCATGGTAAAACCTTCGAAAAATCCGGGAACTGATAGGTTTTGACCCATTTCCCAGATTATTTTCCAATCTTAAAACATTACAATCGTTACATGTGTAGGGAATCACATGGGTACATGTGTAGGGAATCGCATGGGTACAAGGTGGTGCCCCCCCATTTATAGGTTAATGTTGGTTCCTGATTAGTGTGTGGCCCCCCCCCCTAAACTATATCTGGACTCTCTTTAAAGTAGAAAAGCAAAAAAAAACTTCCCAAAAGAAAAACATATCCTCGATTAAGTAAGGATTTCAATTGGCTACAATTGAAATCTAATTACTATTGTTTTTTTTGCCGATGAAGTTGTGGTATTTGTAGTACTTGTAGTACTTGTAGTACTTGTAGTACTTGTAGTACATGTAGTACTTGTAGTACTTGTAGTACTCGTAGTACTCGTAGTACTTGTAGTACTTGTAGTACTTGTAGTACTTGTAGTACTTGTAGTACTTGTAGTACTTGTAGTACTTGTAGTACTTGTAGTACTTGTAGTACTCGTGGTACTTGTAGTACTTGTAGTACATGTAGTACTTGTAGTACTTGTAGTACTTGTAGTCCTTGTAGTACTTGTAGTACTTGTAGTACTTGCATTACTTGTAGTACTTGTAGTACATGTAGTACTTGTAGTACTTGTAGTACTTGCAGTACTTGTAGTACTTGTAGTACTTGTAGTAATTGTAGTACTTGTAGTACTTGTAGTACTTGTAGTACTTGTAGTACTTGTAGTACTTGTAGTACTTGTAGTACTTGTAGTACTTGTAGTACTTGTAGTACTGGTAGTACTTGTAGTACTTGTAGTACTTGTAGTACTTGTAGTACTTGTAGTACTTGTAGTACTTGTAGTACATGTAGTACTTGTAGTACTTGTAGTACTTGTGGAAAAGCTGTTCTTTAATAAGGGTTTAATATCCTTTGGGAAAGGCTTGGAGTTTGAATTTGGCAATTGCCTTTGGAAAAGGCTTGCTTCCCTTCTGGGCTTCCAAGGGCTGCTCTGGCACAGCTTGCTGCAATAGTGAACCCAGCAAACAAACCTACTAAAGTGAAATGGGAGCTGCTCTGGCACAGCTTGCTGCAATAGTGAACCCAGCAAACAAACCTACCTTGACTGAGCTATAGCGTTTTTGAAAAAAAATGCCTCTCAGCAATTACAGTTTTTTTTGCAAAAAAAAGGGCTCTCCCAATTTTGTTTTGCCACAAAAGCGAACCCTCCAAACAATACATGAGTTTCAGAATAATTTGGAAAAAATTGTCACAATAGCGACCCTAGGTACTAATCAGGACCCAACATTAGTTGGCAAGCCCCATTAACTATGCATGTATCTACCACGCACATTTTTTTTGAGTTATGCTCCCCAACTTGGCTATCACAAATCACTCAATAGATCACATATCCATCCCAATTTTTATCAGTAAAATCTGCCATTTTCGCTTGGTTGACCAGGATTTTTTTCTATGGATTTTGCATCCCATTCAATCCCACAGGATGGTGCCCCCAGTTATAAGTTGGTTTATAAACCCCATTAACTATAGTTATATCTGCCATAAACCATAGTTATGGGAGTTATAAACCAACTTAGCTAACTATGGGGCACCACCTTGCATGAAATCACCATTCAGTCCACCCAAAAACCATCGCAGAATTCCATCGGCCGGCTGAACGTGGAGCTGCGCCAATCGCTGTCGGCGGACATCAATACGGAGCCGCTTAGCCTGTGCGAAGCCGACGGTTCGCGGTTCGCGGGGTTCGGGGGGTTCGGGGTTCTGGAGGCCCACAGTACTCCTCGGTGGTGCCACAACAGTTAGCTAAGTTGACTGATATTAGGTGAACATTTTGAGACTGATTGGTGGTGACTGGAACATTTTTTTGACTTTCCATAGATTGGGAATTTCATCATCCCAACTGACGAATTCCATCATTTTTCAGAGGGGTTGAAACCACCAACCAGAATAGAATTCTACAGATATCTAGGAGTTTCCATAAATGGGGAATCCCCAAAATGCATTGTTAATGGAAAATCCGATGAACATGGATGATTTATAGGGGTATCCCCATTTTAGGAAACCTCCTAATATAGTACAATGTGAGGCCCCCAAGATAGCTAAGTTGGTGAACATAACTCCAATGTCACTATGGTTTATGGTATTTATAACGAACTAGTTACTGGGGCTTTTGTTAACCAACTAACATCACTGGGGGGCCTCACATTGTATAGTTTAGAAAACTGGGCACTGTTCAACAGTAGGGCATTTTCCCATGGCATCGGAGTCAAGGGGATGCTTAATGGGAAGTGCACCGAAAAATCGCGGGGTTGAAATATGGTTTTTACCCTCTGGTAATTTGTTACATATGCTATTGAAAGTGACCATTTATAGTGGATTTTCCCATTAAAAATGGTGATTGTCCATCGTTTTTTGTATGTTTACCAGAGGGTAATATGTTTATAGCCGGGAAAATCATGAATGAATGTTTACCCTCCGGTAAATTAACATAGACCCTGGCAGTCATCGGGGTTGGGAGATGAGTTTCCATTAAAAATGGGTGATTCTCAGGGTCTATGTTAATTTACCAAAGGGTAGTTCCTTGCGTCTCAAAAGATCATTGGACCCTGATTTTATGGTGATTTATTTTTTAGTTACCAGGTTTGATTGGCAGGGGACAATAGCCACCATAAGTGGGGATATAACCAGCAATTTCAGGGACAACTATCAACCAGAACGGGGATATTAATGGGATTAATGGGTATATAACCAAATATATGAATGAGTAGTGGGGGAAATCAGGGTATATAGTTTAGATAACTAGAGTATATGTAGTTGGTATTTCACACAAGTGGGGATCTCAGCAACATAACAATAGTGGGGATATATTGGGAATATCCATCAAACATGGGTGTTTGCGGCATGGTTTAACCATCCTGAAATAAAGAAAATATATGGTTTCCTGACATGGGGATATCGCTTAAAATTGATGTTTTTTTAATGGAAAATCCATCTATAGATGGATGATTTGGGT